CGTGTTTTGTGACTGCGACGCGTCTGTTGTCCCCAGTCTCCCAAGAAGGTGGGTGATGACATCGCCAAGGCCACGGGCGACTGGAAGGGGCTGAGGATCACGGTGAAGCTCACCATCCAGAACAGGCAAGCTCAGGTACCCACCGCCACGAGGGACGGCCCCGTGGGGAGAGCGCCCAGCGGCTCCGCCTGCTCGAACCAGGAACCCCGGCAGGGTCGACTCAGCCCTTCATCCTTCCGAGGTGGATAAAATGAGTTCCACACGGTCGCTGTGTGGGGGTCTTCTGGCGGAGACCTTAAAACCCTCGCGTGAGCCCTCGGCGCCTCTGGCTCCGGTGGTTACGTGTGTGTGTGTGTGTGCGCAGCCTGGGTGGAGGGATGGGGACGCGCCTGCTCTGTGCCAGAGCTGATCTTTTGTCCTGTTAGAAATTGTTTCTTCTGCAGAACCTCTCACCAGGAAAAAAAACCCCTTATTTCAAGCAATACAGAAATTAAAAACCAAACAAACCTTTTTGCTAATCTTGTAGCCACCTGCCACTGTACCTGTCCTGAATTGGTGGCTGGTATGTTCCAGTGGTGAGCTGAGAGGAAGCCCCAGCCCAGGAAGCAGTCCTCCTCTGGCCGTGGGGAGGCCTGTGCCGAAAGGCTGGGAACAAGCTCCTGCACTGTAATGCAAAAAAAAAAAAAAGCCTCACGTACCAGTGAACTAACCAAAACGGCAGTGCTCTGGCAGTTGGCTGTCCAGGCACTGACTGCGTGGTCGAGTATCTTCGTTAGGTGCCTAATTCTGCTTAAGGGGGGGGGAACAATTAATCTCTTTTTGTTTAGATTGAGGTTGTTCCTTCTGCCTCTGCTCTGATTATCAAAGCTCTGAAGGAGCCTCCTCGTGACAGGAAGAAGCAGAAAAACAGTAAGTTTTCATCTGGTTTTAGTTCCAAACGTGATTTGGTGCAAAGAGGGGAATACGTGCCTGCCTCTAGGTTGTAAGTGTCAGCACAGATAAAGCTTGTACACCGGCAGAGCCCGGTTTCTTGGAAGACGGGGTAGAACAGCCACCCGCCACTGCCCCCATCTTGTGTGCAGCGAGTAGTACGGTCCCGAGGGGAGCTGACAGAAGGTGCCAGCTCAGGAAACGGTTAATCCTTCTTGTGGGTAGCTCTGCGCTGGGACCAGCGTGCTGATCGCAGCCCCGCTGTAGTTGTAAACTCTCCGGTGTGGTCTGAGTGCTTGAGCATGGTGCTTCTCTAACGGCACCGGGGGAACTGGAACGGCCGGTGTTTACATGAGCTCATGGTGCTGCTGCTTCCCCTCCCAGTTAAGCACAGTGGCAGCGTCAGCTTTGATGAGATAGTGAACATCGCGCGGCAGATGCGGCACAGATCCCTGGCTCGGGAGCTCTCAGGTGGGTGCTGGTGTTGGGATTGCCCAGAGTCCTCGCTCTACGTGCTAGAGCCAGGTTCTGCCCTGGCTCCTGGGAGGGCCCATACCCATGGAAGGGGGGGGTGGAGCTCCTTGGGCCGCTTGGCCACTTGGGGACAAGTGGCTTTTGTCCCCTTGTGACCGCTGTGGCCTGCAAACCCCAGAGGGAGGGAGGAAGAGCTGAGGTGTGGGGAATTCAGTTCTCTACATGTTCTGAAAAGCTTTCCCTGTGGTAAAGCACTGACAAGCTGTATCTTCCCTCTGCAGGGACCATCAAGGAGATTCTTGGAACTGCCCAGTCCGTGGGCTGCAGCATTGATGGCAGGCACCCACATGATATCATTGATGACATCAATAATGGTGCAATTGAGTGCCCAGCTGTAAGTAGCCAGCTCTGACTGAAACTTGCTGTATTAGGCCACTTACTAAGACTCTACTAATGAGTGGTATTTGCTTCTTTCAACAGAGCTAAGACTGTAGAAAAGAAGTTGCTACACAAAGGCTCCTTCAGTTTTCTGTAGCACCTTAGACACTTAATAAAAGTTGCAGTTGTCTGCAAACAGCGTTGCTGGCTTCGTTTGTCCTGTCCCATGCGGCCTGAGTAGTGGGTGCTGGCTGGGGACCACCTGCCCTCTGCATCACCCGAGGTGATGGTGGGTCTGCAGATTTTAAAGCTTGAAGATGCTCATTTCCTATTTGCTGCCCTGAAATCATTTGCTGGTGGCAACACTGAGTTCAGAGAGCGGAGTTGCCTCAAGGCAGTGTTGCAGTAAAGAGCAAATGTCAGTAACTTGTGGCCTCTGTAAAGCTCTGAGCTCTGTTCTTGCCCGTGCTGAATGTGCAAGCCGGGAGCGGTGGGTGTTGCTCTTCGCTAGGGGAACTGCTGTTGTAGCAGCTCCAGGTTCCCTGAACTGCTGCAGCTGGGACACGGACGCTCACTGAGGCTTGACAATGACTCCGCAGGCTGCCTGCCTCGTAATGCCGCGCTGGTGTACTGCGCGGGCTGGACGGGCTCTGACCTGAGGTGGGCTGTTGGGCAGGGACTGCAGGGGAGAGCAGCTCCGTGTGCCTGGCAGTCTGTACCGTGACCCGGCCCCTCGTTACTGGGAGGAACCTCTGGCCTAGGCAGCATCCTGGGGTTTCTGCTGTAGAACAGGTTGGGTTCTCTGCTCAGTGTTCTTGTGCCTTGAAGCAGAGGAGATACGGGCTTGCTTCTAGTGGCCAGTGCAATGCACACAGTCCAGTTCTTGAGCGGAATTTTTGTGCTTTATTTCATGGCTGAGGAGGAGCAAGTCTGTGGGTGGAATCCTGTGGTCCTCTCTGCTTCAGAGAGTTGCAAAGGGCCCAGTCTCGTGTTTCTTGGGTCTCCTGACTCCTTGGAATGGTGACACTGGGGAAGCAGGGCAAGCAAGCCCTATAGCTCCTCTCTACATCTTATGTTCCAGGTCCTGCTGTGTTCTCTGAAAGAAAAAAAAAAAGGGCAGTTTAAGTGTTGTATTTCCATGAGTGTTCTGTAACTCAGTGTTGCTGCTTGTCAAAGGGCTCCTAAAACCTGGCTGAGCCGCAGAACTTGTGTTTTGCGGTGAACATCCTGGCTGTTTCTGCTGGGAAGGGCACCTGCAGGGGTGCCAGCTCAACCTGCCCCACTACTAGCACCTCCTGAAGCCAAGGCAACTTGCTTACTCCAGATAGAAAACCTGTCAGTAAGAGGTGTGGGTGCCCGTTATGGTACGGATTGGAGGAGGGATGCACAGCTATTGAAAAGTGTGGTGGGGAAAGGCCAAAAGGTTGATACTTGCTAATTGAAAATGAGCTTTTTTGGGGGGGCAAAACTTAGGGCCTTGCAAACACAATCTTGGGGTCTCATCCAGTGAGGATACAAGGAACCTCTTGCAGATATTTAACCTCCAGAGGTTCCTGTGTGTCTCGGGCTTGGTGCTTGAAATTGTACTTCAGTATTTGGCACTTGGCTCTCGGCTCTCACCCCAACAGCTCTGCCTGGCTGTGGCAGTGCAACAGATCCCCCCCAAAGATCCTGGGAAAACCTTGTTTTGCATCCAGCAGAGGCTGGATTTTCCCTGGGGCGGTACAGCACGAGGGATGACGTATGGGTTCCAGGCTGTGGGAACCTCCATGTGAAGTGAAATTATCCTGGCAATAAGAAGGCTTTAGCTGACTCTGCGGTATTACTGAAAGCCCTCTTAGCAGCGGCATTATGACTGCAGTTTGCTTCAGCCCTAACAGTGCCCTGGGGAAAAAAAAAGTCATGAATGTTAATTTAGGCCCATTTTTCCCAAGGAAAAGGGGATCAAATTCTTCCCAAGATGCTGAGCTGTATGAGCCTTGGTCTTGGAAAAATGGTCTCGGCCAGGTATGTTTTCCTCCTCTCAAAGTGGTGACAGTACCTGGTGAGCTCTTCTCGTAGGAGCGGCTCAGGGCGGCTCTTGTAGCGTAGCGTACCGACCATCCTGGCTGGAGCTCTGCTATGGCGAGCAGGACTGTAAAGCGGTGTGCACTGGGGGAGGAAAAAACCAGTTCTGCTACTACTTCTAGGGGGGTGTAGGGGAGAGTGTGGTGTATGCGCTAGCTGGGCTGCTAAAAGTCATTGGCTGGGGTTCGGGTTATTCCCGGGATCCGCCGGAGTCGTTCGCAGAACGAGGGCAGCGCTGCGGTGGGGAGTGTCTGCTGCTGTCAGACACGGGCGCTCACTGAGCTGGAGCCTCTGGAGGGGAAAACTCAAATCTCCCAATAAACTCTGTCCCAAACTGAATGGGAGGAGGTGTGCACCTGTAGTAGTGCTTGTGCAAGTAAGTATATGCAAGTAGGGTGTTACTTTCTAGTACACAAGGCACTGCAGTTCCTAAGCCCCTGTAGCTGAAGGGTGCTCAGCTGCAGAGTGCCTGCGAGCTCGTTTGGTGAAACTAAAGCTCTGGGTCTGCTCTAGCTTAGGCCAGGCCTGTGGCTTGGGCTGAGCCTTCAGCGCTGCCTCTCGGCACGCCGCAGAGTCATGCCGTAGGAATGTGCCTCGTACTGCTTACGAAGCAGAAAATGTATGTTGTGTTAGCAGCAGGGGCTTCAGAAATCACCTGTGTTTGCATGTGATTTAACGACAAACCACTGCTTGGACAAGACTTCGATTTCCTCTCTGCTGCTGAAGTACCTGCTGGTGAAGCTGGTCGAACTTCAAGGGTGGACCCGGGGAAAGCAAAGTCTCCTAGCCTGTCCTTGCAAGATCCAAAACGCCAGGTCAGCATCAAGGCCAGCCAAAAGAAACTGCGAATCGTGCCCGTTTTCCACCGTGGTCCTGCTGTCTGAGATGTTTAATGAAGCAACAGCTCTGTAATTTTGCGTTAGGCTCCCGGGCAGGAGGGAGTTGCCAGGATCTTTGGAGAAAGGCCGGGCCGGCAGCTCTGCAGCGGGCGAGCGGCTGCTTGAGGGAGGATGAGCGGGCGGCGGAGTTGGGGCTGACCGGTGCGTTTACGATTTCGGAGAAGATCCGCTCTTGTCCTTTGCCGCCTGATGAAACGCGGGTACGCTGCCTTGGTGACTTGAGGGCCACGGAGACCGAAGACTGGCTGTAGTGAAATAGGGAAAGGCACGACAAAAAATTAGTTTTTAGCAAATCAAACAGCTGTGGCCGACACCAATTTTGTGGTATGTCCTGAGGCGTGACCGCCAGCGTGGAGGGAGGAGCTGGACCCTCATTCCTAAAGCAAAAGCGACCAAAGCCTGACGCAGGTGTCCCCAGACGCCGGGGTTCCCTGCAGAGCCCGCGAGGTTTTGCCCACAAAACCTTTGTCTGTCCCTTTGCAGCGCGGGCTGCGTGGGGGGCAGCTCTGCCCGTGGTCCAGCAGCCCGTCCC